CCTAACATCTATTCTGTTTAGTTTCGAATAGCACATTATTACCTTCGCTAAAAATTTTTAAATATATTTAAATAAGTGCTCGCTACTTTGTGAATTAAATCATAGTTAAAAATTATACAATTTATATAAAAGTGCTATTTATCAAAAGCTATGAAACGTTTTCTTTCAAGCTTTAAAGCGTATACTTACAAATAAATAGTGTTAAGTCCGAAAAAATTTGGCGAAAATTATTTATATTTAAATTGCTGCAGTCAAAAAAAGCGAAAAATTCATTCTATTAGGACTTTTTTTGCTACTTTACGTGAAGAATTCAATTCTTTTTCAACAAAACTCGATTGTGGTAGACCTAACATCTATTTTGTTTTTTATCTATTAGCACATTTGAAAAGTCGCTAAATATGTTTTAATATATTTAAAAGAAATTTTCGCTACTTTGTGAATTAAATCGTAAGTATAACCTATAGCATTGCTATAAAAGTGCTATTTAACAGAAGCTATGAAACGTTTGCTTTAAAGCTGTAAAGCGTATACTTACAATAAAAAAGTGTTAAGTCCGAAAAAATTTAGGTTACATTACTTAAATTTGGACTGCTGCAGTCAAAAAAAACAGGAAAAAATCATTTAATTACGACTTTTTTTGGTTACCTAACGTAAAAATCTCAATTCTTTTTCATCGAAACTCGATTGTAGTAAACACGACATCCATTCTGTTTTTTTTTCTAGTAGCACATATTTACCGTCGCTATAAATTTTTCTATATATTTAAGAAGAAATTTTTGCTACTTTCTGGATTAAATCGTAGTTAAAAACTATAAAATTTCCAAAAAAGTTCTTTATAACAAAAGCTATAAAACCTTTTTCTTCAAGTTTTAAAGGGTATACTAACAAATGAAAAGTAGTATGTCTATTAAAATGTAGCAAATATCATTAACTTTTCGACAACTGCTGTCGAAAAAAAGAGAAAAAATCATCTTATTACAACTTTTTTTGGTAACTTCACRKKTAGAATTCAAATATTTTTCGACAAAATTTGATTGTAGTCAACCCAACATCTATTGTTTCGTTTCTAATAGCAAAATTTTACCTTCGCTCAAAAATTTTTATTAAATTTAAAAAGATATTTTCGCTTTTTCCAGGATTTAATCGTAATTAAAAATTATAAAAAAACTAATAAAGTTGAATTTAACAGAAGCAATGAATCGTTTTTTTTCAAGCTTTAAAGCGTAAACACACAAATAAAATGTGTTAAGTCTAAAAAAGTTTGGAAAACATCATTTATATTTGGAATACTCCAGTCAAAAAAAAAGGAAAAAATCATTTTATTACGACTTTTTCTGGTAACTTTACGTGTAGAATTCAATTCTCTTTCGACGAAACTCGAATGTAGTCAACCTGATATCAATTCTGTCTAATATCTAATAGCACATTTTACCGTTGCTAAAATTTTTTATATTTTTAAGAAATATTTTCGCTTCTTTCTAGATAAAATAATAGGTAAAAAAACTATCAGATATCTAAACTAATGATTTATAACAAAAGCAATAAAACGATTTCTTTTAAGTTTTAAAGCGTATACTAACGAATAAAAAGTGTTAGGTCCAGTAAAATCAAGCAAAAAACATTTATATTTCAAGAACTGCAGTCTAAAAAAATGGAAAAAATCATCTTATTACAACTTGTTTTGGTTACTTTACGTGAATAATTCAATTCTTTTTCAACAATACTCGATTGTATTAAACCTGAAATCCAATCAGTTTTATTTCTTTCAGCACATTTTTACTGTAACTAAAAATGTCCTACAATATTTAGAAAAAAATTTTTGCTACTTTTTGAATTAAATCGTATGTAAAAACTATAAAATTTCTAAAAAAGTGCTATATAACAAAAACAATAAAACGTTTTCTTTTAAGTTTTAAAGCGTATACTAACAAATAAAAACTGTTATGTCCAATAAAATCTAGCAAATATCATTTAGTTTTAAGCAACTTTAGCCAAAGAAAATAGAAAAAATCATTTTATTACAAATTTTTTTTGTTACTTCTTGTGTAGAATTATATTATTTTTCGACAAAATTTGATTGTACTCAACTAAACATCTATTTTGTTTTGTTTTTAATAGCACATTTTACCGTAGCTAAAAATTTTTCAATACATTTAAAAAATTTTCGCTACTTTCTAGATTAAATAATAGTTAAAAACTATCAGATATCTAAAGCAATGCTATATAACAAAAGCTATAAAACGTTTTCTTTTAAGTTTTAAAGCGTATACTAACAAATAAAAACTGTTAAGTCCAATAAAATCTTGCAAATAACATTTATATTTCAAAAACTGCAGTCCAAAAAAAGGGAAAAAATCATTTTATTATAATTTTTTAAGTTACTTAACGTTAAGAATTTAAGAATTTTTCGACAAAACTTAATTGTATTCGACCTTACATCCATTCTGTTTTTTTTCTAATAGTAAATTTTTGCCGTCGCTAACAATTTTTTAATATATGTAGGAAAAATTTTTGCAGCTTTCTGGATTGATCAATAGTTGAAAACTATCAGATTTTTAAAGAGGTGCTATATAACAAAAGCTTAAATCGTTTTCTTTTAAGTTTTTAGGCGTATAGTTACAAATAAAAAGTGTTAAGTTCAATAAAGTCCAGCAAATATCATTTAAATTTTAACAACTGCAGTCCAAAAAAAGAAAAAAAATCATTTTATTAGAACTTTTTTTTGTTACTTAACGTGTAGAATTTAATTTTTTCCCGACAAATCTCGATTGTAGTCAACCCAACATCTATTCTGTTTAGTTTCTAATAGAACATTTTTACCGTCGCTTACAATATTTTAATATATGTAAGATTTTTTTATTTATTTATTATAGGTAATAGAATAATGATTGAAACATTAACGCTTAAATGTGATGTTAACCGATTTTGGTATAATTATTTTATTTGATTGAATGGTGAATAATCTCTAATCTATAATCTACCGTTGCTTAACCTAAAGAACTATCTCGGAATGCCCGAATATGGAATGCATCCTCCGGTCCCTACGGACGCTTATTTATACCCTTTCCCCCTCTTTTTCGTCTTACATCACTTCCTGTCCATTCCTTCTAGAAACTTCTCGATGATTCTTTACTTCCTATCATTCTTTCTAGAACTTTCCGGAACGAGAACGTTAAAAAGATTTCTATTGGGCTACCCAAAGACGACAAGGCCCGGTCAGTGTAAACTTACTAACTAAACATACATTTCTATAGGGAACGTTTTCTTTACTTCGTTCAAATATCATAATCTCACACACATTCATACCATTCACACACGCACTCTTTTATAAATAACTTAACACTATGGTGTTCCTTCTAGGATATTCTGAATTCTCACACTCGGCCATTCTGACAGAATAAATCTGTCCTCAGATTTGTAATTGATCTTTGTCGTCTTTGCTCAGAATATCTCCGTCCCCTTGATTCCACGGTTTCATCGAATCGGCCGCTGTAGACGTTGTGTACGGGCCCACGTGTTCCCTCACTTTCTGTACTAGATAGCGATCGTTTCTAAGTACCTTTTTCACCTCGTACGGTCCTAAATACTTCGGGTGCTGTTTCAAACCCGGTCCTACTTGCTTTCGTCGTATCGCAACTAGGTAACCCTCATCGTATCGTGTTGCGACATTTCTTTTTTTGTTAAAAGACCTTGGGTTATCTGCCTGTGCTTTTAGGATGGCCTCCTTCGCATATCTCCGACACTCCTCTCCGTCTGCCTCGAACATCTGTCTCCATTCGGCCTCTATCATCTCTCGTACAGCCGGATTTTCCTTGATCCTTATATCCGTTTCGAACAGTTACTTAAACGGTGTTGTCTTGATGCTTTTGCTAGGCGTGGCGTTCAAGTATCGTTGGGCCAACTCAAGGTAGCGATACCAGTCCTCAGGTTTCGGTAAGGCCATCTTCGTCAGTAGAGGTATAAGCGTACGGTTAACTCTTTCTACCTGCCCGTTACTTCTTGGCATTCCGGTGGTGATCTTAATGTGCTCAATACCTTCCTCCTCGCAATACTTCGCGAAGTCGTTCGAGGTAAACGCGGTTCCCCTGTCGGAGATGACTCTCCGCGGATTTCCGAACACATACGCCTGCTTCTGCAGAGGACGCAACACCTCGGCCGTGTCCGTGGACCTAGTTGCATACAACCACACAAACTTCGAGAATCCGTCCACTACCACAAAGATGTACTTGTAATTCTTTTTAGTGGAGGGGATGAGCCCCAGGTGGTCAATGTGAAAAGTGTGGAGGGGAACCTCTCCCTTGTCAATCAGACGCAGCCACCCCTCTAATTTCCCACCCTTCCTCTCGGCCAAAATGCACTTCACACAGTTCTGCACTATCCCCTCCACAACACTACCCATTCCTTCAAACCAGTAGTCTTTCCTCACTAACATCACTGTCTTATCTACCGCGAAATGTCCTTGCTCATGTGCTCGGCGAACGATTTGTGCCTGCTATTCCCTAGGCACTACCACTAACATGTCACCCTTTACATTTCTATACACAATCTCATTCCTTATTGTATAATCACTTAAACTATCTTTCTTAACACTACTAATTATACCGCGTAGGTCTTCGTCCTCCGATTACGCTCGCTTCAATCTGGCTATGAGCCCGCTTTCGTCCTCGCGAATAAACATGACCGTCGGTAAAGGATTACGACTTAACGAATCCGCGTGCACCATTTGCCTGCTTGTCCGATGTTCAATTGTATAGCGGAATTCTTCGAGAAGCAGAGCCCATCTTGCCACGCGCACGCACAAATCCCTCTTTCTCATAGTGAGCGTGAACGCGCGACAATCCGTAACTATCTTAGAGCTAATCCCTAACAGATACACTCTAAATTTCCGCAGCGACTTGATGATTGCAAGCACCTCCAGCTCATAGCTGGGATAATTTTCTTCCGCTGGCGTGGTCTTCCCACTTGCGTAATATATAGGATGGAACATATTGTCGGTGTTATCACGCTGCATCAAAATTGCCCCGCAATTTTTTTTTACTCGACGCATCCGTATAGAGTTCGGTTTCGGCGTTCACTCTGTATAGACGCAATACTGGCTTACTGCACAATATCTCCTTAAGCTTCTTAAAGGATTCCTCCTCTTCGTACCCAAATTTAAATTTTACCTCTTTTCTTAATAGATTGGACAACGGTCTCGCAATAACCGAATACTGTGGCACAAACTTGCGAAAATACCCCGTCAAACCTAGAAAACTTTGTATACCCCTGCGGTCGGTTGGCCTAGGAAATCTCGGGACCGCCGCTGTTTTAGCGATCGACGGCTGTACCCGACCGTCCTCGATTATGTGTCTTAAATACTCTACGCGTTTCTGCAAGAACTCGCATTTCTTCCAGTTAATTACTAACCCGAATTCGCTCGCCGTTTTTAATACTAACGCTAGGTTATCCATCCCATCCTCAATACTGTCGGAAGGTATAATTATGTCATCCAGGTAGATTAATACTTTTTTTAAAACTATTAGCTCCCTAAATACCAAGTTAATGTATTTTTGAAACACGGCGGGCGAATTACACAATCCAAACGGGACCTTTGGAAATTCGTAATAACCGTTCGGCACCACGAATGCCGTGTACTTTCGACTGTCCCTATTTACCGACACATGGAAAAACCCGTTCTTTAAGTCGATAGTAGTGAATACGCTCGCGCCCTGTAAGGCGTCTAGTTGATCCTTGATTAGTGGTAACGGATACCGATCCTTTACAATCTTATCGTTTAGTTTTCGATAGTCAACGCACAACCTTTCTGACCCGTCCTTCTTCCTAACTAATACCACCGGACTAGCGTAATCGGGAAACGACGGCTGTATGATACCGTCCGCTAACCACTTGTTTATTTCGGCATCCACCTCATCCTTTTCTTTCGGCGATAACCTTCTCGGACGCGCGTACACTGGTTCTTCATCTTTCAAGATTATATTCATTTCTAGATCTGTCTCACGAACCTTTTTCGGTCGATAATTCGTTATTAGCGTCTCTATTTCTCCCCTATATCTCGCGTTTGTAATATGGGACAGATCCACTTCATTCCGCTCGCTAATTATATTGATCTTAAAAATCTCGTGTACCACTTCGTCCGTCAACGGACTTTCCTCTATGTCACGAATGCAAACTTTGCCCGCGCCTATTACTACTTTTAAATTTTTCAAAAAGTCATTTCCGAAGAGCAAGCCATGTTTTATAAGAGTGCCTGAAATCACATGTAACTTGATCGGATACCCTTTCCCATCAATGGTGACCATCGTATCCATCTCGCCATACGTCTTATTTAAACCGGAACCCACGCCCCGGAATTGCAAACTTTTCTTACCTACTTCAGGTGCACCGATTTCAAAATATTTTTCCATTGTAATAAAGCTTAAACTACTGCCTGTATCGATAAGCGCCACAATCCTAATGTCTCCTATGTGAACCACTTTGATGCACTCTTCACCCACCCCCGCTTCTACACTGCACGCTTCCTTCGGATTAACCTGCTGCTTTATGTTCTTTTTGCAATCCTTTGAGATGTGGCCGAACTCGTTACACTGAAAGCACTTCACGCCTTTGGCCTTCGATGGACACTTCCACTGCCGATGGCCCGACTCTCCACACTTGTAGCAGCGTTCGTCACTGGCCTTTGTAGCTGATCCGCGTGGTCGTTCTTTCGTTCCCCCGCTATCGTGCACCTTCGGCGTTCTTGTCTTCCTCTGCAATTCCCCTTTTATCGCCTCGTATAATTTGAATTTCTTCTTTAGCTCGCTGATCGTCGTTGCTCCGTATAAAATAGCTTTATTGAATGGCTCATCTCGCACACCATTCACAATATATTGTATCGTACTCATCTTATCTACTCCTGCCTRAGCAGCGATTTCACACATCGTGTATACATACTCTTGATAAGATTCTCCAGTTTCCTTCATTCGTTTTCCAAGTAATTCGTGGACCTTGTACGCACTTATTACTTCCCCAAATTCATTCAATAGCGTTTTCTTAAGCTTCTTCCACGTCATACAACACTTTTCATATCGCACAAATGATCTTGCTGATCCTCGTAATAGCCGTTTACAATAAATTATTTTTCGCGTACTATCCCACTGGCATACTTCTGCCATCTCCTCGAATTCTCTCATCCAACATTTCACATTAATCGTACCTTCGCCGCTAATTGTTTGAAGCGATTCTTCTATATCTTTAAACGTTAGCACCTGCATAGCCTTCGTAAGGGTTTCATCATCATCATCATCATCATCATCATCATCATCATCATCATCATCATCATCATCATCATCATCGTCATCGTCATCATCGTCATCGTCATCGCCGTCGTCATTCCGCAGCTTCTTCTTCCCAGCTGCCTTCAGGCGTTCCGCAAGTTCCTTTTTCTTACCCTTCGTGCTTAAGCCCATCCCCTTCAATTTGGCCCTCAAGTCCAGATACCTCATATCACTAATATCTGGTTCTGCCGCCACAATGGTCGTATTAGCCAGACTTCCTTGAGAATCATTTTCTGACTCCATAATGAACTTTAAACACTTCCACCGTCTTAGACTTAAAGATGTTCACCAGCTCGTTATTATGATTCTATCCCGGACGAGCCCCCAAATGTAAGATTTTTTTATTTATTTATTATAGGTAATAAAATAATGATTGAAACATTAACGCTTAACTGTGATGTTAACCGATTTTGGTATAATTATTTTATTAGATAGAATGGTGAATAATCTCTAATCTATAATCTACTGTTGCTTAACCTAAAGAACTATCACGGAATGCCCGAATATGGAATGCATCCTTCGGTTCCTACGGACGCCTATTTATACCCTTTCCCCCTCTTTTTCGTCTTACATCACTTCCTGTCCATTCCTTCTAGAAACTTCTCGATAATTCTTTACTTCCTATCATTCCTTCTAGAACTTTCCCGAACGAGAACGTTCGAGAGATTTCTATTGGGCTACCCAAAGACGACAAGGCCCGGACAGTGTAAACTTACTAACTAAACATACATTTCTATAGGGAACGTTTTCTTTCTTCTTCGTTCAAATATCATAATCTCACACACATTCATACCATTCACACACGCACTCTTTTATAAAAAACTTAACACTATGGTGTTCCTTCTAGAATATTCTGAATCCTTACATATAATTAAAAAAAAATTTTCGCAACATTCAGGATTTAATCGAAGTTAAAAACTAAAAAAATTCTTAAAAAGTGCTATATACCAAAAGCTATAAAACGTTTTGCTTAAAGTTTTAAAGCGTATACTAACAAATAAAAAATGCTATGTCCAATAAAATCTAGCAAATATCATTTATATATAAAAAACTGCAGTCCAAAAAAAGAAAAAAAATCATTTTATTAGAACTTTTTTTTGTTACTTAACGTCTAGGATTTAATTTTTTCCCGACAAATCTCGATTGTAGTAATCCTGACATCTATTCTGTTATGTTTTTAGTAGCACATATGTACCTTCACTAAAAATTTTTTAAAATATTTAAAAAGAAATTTTTGCTACTTTGTAAAAACAAATCGTAGTAAAAACCATAAAATTTCTATAAAAGTGCTATTTAACAGAAGCTATGAAACGTATTCTTTCAAGCTTTAAAGCGTATACTTACAAATAAAAAGTGTTAAGTCCAAAAAATTTCGGCAAACATCTTTTATATTTGGACTACAGCAGTCAGAAAAAAGAGAAAAAATCATTCTATAAAGACATATTTGGTTACTTTACGTGAAGAATTCAATCCATTTTCAACAAAACTCGATTGTAGTAATCCTGACATCTATTCTTTTATGTTTCTAGTAGCACATTTCTACTGTCGTTAAATATTTTTTATTATATTTAAAGAGAAATTTTTGCTACTTTGTGAATTAAATCGTAGTTGAAATCAAATAAAATTTCTAAAAAAGTGTTATTTAACAGAAACTATGAAACGTTTTCTTTCAAGCTTTACAGCGTATACTTACAATTAAAAAGTTTTAACTCCGAAATATTTAGCAAACATCATTTAAATTTTAACAACTGCAGTCCAAAGAAAAAATAAAATCATTTATTACAACTTTTTTTTGTTACTTTACCTGTAGAATTAAATTATTATTCGACAAAATTCGTTTGTAGTAAACCAAACATATATTCAGTTAAGTTTTTATTACCACATTTTTATCTTTGCTAAAAATTTTTTAATATATTTAAATAGAAATTTTCGCTTCTTTTTTGGTTAAATCGTAGTTAAAAAATATAAAAAATCCTAATAAGTGCTATTTAACAGAAGCTTTAAAACGTTTCCTTTCATGCTTTAAAGCGTATACTTAAAAATAAAAAGTGTTAAGTCAGAAAAAGTTTGGCAAACATCATTTATTTTTCGACAACTGCAGTCAAAAATAAGAGAAAAAATTATCTTATTACGACTTTTTTGGGTTACTTTACGTGTTGAATTCAGTTCTATCTCGACGAAACTCGATTGCAGTCAACCTGACATCCATTCTGTTTTGATTCTAGTAGCACGTTTTGACTATCGTTAAAAATGTTTTAATATATTTAGAAAAAAAATGTTGGTCTACTTCCTGGATTAAGTCGTAGTTAAAAACTATAAAGATTATAAAAAAGATCTATATAACAAAAGCTATAAAACGTTTCTTTCAAGTCTGATTGCGTAAACAAACAAATAAAAAGTTTTATGTCCAATAAAATCTAGCGAATATCATTTACTTTTTACTTACTGCAGTCGAAGAAAAGAGAAAAAATCATTTTATTACGACTTTCTTTAGTTACCTAACGTGTTGAATTCAATTCTATTTCGACGAAACTTGATTGTAGTCAACCTGACATCCATTCTGTCATGTTTCTAACAGCAAATTTTAGTATCGTTAAAAATTTTTCAATATATTTAAGAACAACTTTTGTTGCTTTCTAGATTAAATAATAGTTGAAAACTATTAGATATCTAAAGAAATAGTATGTATTTGCCAAAAATTCCTCCAACATGGAGTCCTCCGGCGATTGAATTTAACGTTTCGTATCGTCTCTCCCTTTCTTTACCGTTAATTACCGCCTCTGCGGTTCGTCACCTGTCTATCGTTGACCCTGGGATGTGATCGAACTCGTTTGGGATGTTGAATCGTCTGCTACTGTTCGTTGGAAAAATGA